TCACCCAAAGCCACACGTTTAAGTGGCTATCTTTGTGGGGACTTTCCATTGACTTCCATTCATTTTTACAGCCTGAACCTTACCATTATCGTAACCCTACGTGCCTAAAACAGACCAAAACTCAATCTACAAATCTACCCCTGACCCAGAAACAGCATTTCGTCTTATGGGGACCACACAAGTTCCCACAAGGAGCAGTGGGTCCCCACAAACGCAAAGGTAACGCTGCACAACAGCGGCACAGTCTGACAACAACGCTGTCCTCTGAAAAGGTTGCGATAAACCGGCTCATTGTTGGCATGACGACAATGATCACGTTTTAGGAAGACAACAGGCTAACTCACAATGGTTGTTCTCAGTGTCCCATGTGGAGAACAGCAGGACATTGTTACCAGTCAACTGTTTCGGCGAACTCTCAGACGGTTCCTATGACAAGCAGGGTTACCTTTTGTTGAGGCTAATTGATGCAAAACTCTGCAGATGCCTTAATTCATTCCACCTTGAATGTAAAAGTGTAGAGATGCAACAATCTGATGTCAATATCTGTATCGGTCCTGATATTGCTAAGAATTCTAGATGGGATATCTCTGACAATGTGCCCGATCCTTAATGATGGATCTATTCAGTCTAATCCTATGTTTTGTGCTCTGAGCGACTTCATGCCTTGTTTTTATTTTACATTATATTTAAAATTCCCAATTGGACTTTCTGTACAATTTGAAAGAAAGGTTATTCACATTTTATCCACCTTTTCCACTTCTGATACAAAAACGACAATGCTGAATTGATTTAAAGTATTTCTTTTTTTAAACAGACATAAAACTACTGAATTATAAATGTATTTGATTACTCTGCACCAGTGGAGCACATTCAAATACACCAATAGCTTCCCAAGCTTGGTCAAACATGTGAGGACAACTTTCATTTGTTCTGTCAGTGCAGTTAGAAGAGTAACAGCCAATGTAAAATAAATAATAAAGAAACTGAAGGAAACATTTGAATACCTTGAATAAACTGGAACAAACCTTCAATCAAATGGTTCAACAAGTGAAATTAGGAATTCTGAATGAATTGTAAAAGAGCTAAACATGACGACACTCAGAGGAAAAAAAAGCGTAAAATTAGGCTGAATAAATCTGATCTTATGAATTGGACACATTGATGCAAACCTGATATAATTTTTTTTTCCAATATCTGGACCGATACAGATTTCAGTATCAGATCGATGCATCTCTAGTTTCGCACATTAATACAGTAATTCCAATATTTGTGCTTCAAACCACCAAATCGCTTTTTTAATTCTCCAAACATTCTTCTGTCCACTTCATCTGGCTCAGTGACCAAGCAGACGTCTCTTCTCAGACAACGGCCTTACTGCTGTACCCAGCTTTGAGCGTCTCCTTGAGTTTAATGCCACCGGCGGCGTGCGTCAGGGCCTGCTCCTCCTGAGTGAGCTCAGGCTTCAGAGTGAGCTGCAAGCTCTCGGCGGACACCAGCACCGTCCTCATGGCCCCAGCCGCCTCCGAACGCAGCGACGAGAAACCGCCGTTCATCCTGCAGTGTCTTCTGACGGAAAGTCCACAAATGTTTGTTTCTTCTTCAGCTTCAGTCTGAAGTCGTCTTTTTTAGCCAAAGCCAGACACTGCTGGGAAAACGCCACAAGACAGGCTGCACGGACTTTGTCATTCACTTCTCTCTTCCTCTTCTGTTGTGCAAAAATAAAAAAAAAAGAAAAAGAAAGTCACAAGATGCCCCCTTCTAATGGCCGGTCATCCTTATGCCTGAGGATAGGGTTTGTTCACGTCCTGAGCTCCTGCTGCTGAATGGACGTCATTCGACCGTTTCTGCTCCCTGCTGGCACATGTGGCCCCGGCTGCCTCACCTGCCTCCTGGCTTTGTGTGCGACTCAACAACACTTCCCTCTTGGGGAAAAAGGAGGGCCTTATCTCGACTGGTGGGTAAACATAGAGCCACTTCTCCTCTGCTACCACCGTACGATAATCCACACTTGGGCCGACACAGCCGGGGTCTGCATGCCCTGCCAAGTTTGGCAGGCGAGGCCAACAGGACAGGCCTTTAATCAAAGATAGCCAAGCCAGGATGAATGTGAGGAAATAGCCTTGAAGACATGGAGTACAAAAGAAGGGAGGGGCTTTTTATATTGTACATGGAGAAATCTGGCTTATGACAAATTTAGTTTTGGCCCGTTTGAAACCCAGATTGTTTTCTTTGAAGGGATGGCTTGACTGAATACAGAAGAGGAAACCGTAGTTATGGAGGAAAGCTGTGTTTCTGTTGATGTGTTATGCATTTTCCATCCATGTAGTATCATTTTATAGCACAAACACATAACCCAGTAGCTATAAAAACAATACATGTATTAAATATGACTTAAAAGAAATTTGATGACTTGAAATTGGGCCTTCGTCTCTTTAAGACGCCCCTGCTCTTTCCAACACTCAGCACTTCATCACAACAACAAACCTATATTATGCATTTACAAACATTCATTAGAGCACCAGACTGAGAAATAGTTTGTGTAATGAGCTCAGCAGAAGCACCAGGTGTTTGCTAATTGTTTCTGCTAGTCTGAAGGAGCTGTGTGGGGGAGTTGCGTCACAGAGCTGCTTTGTGATGTGAAAGCTCGGCTTTTATAAACAACACTTCAGGCATACATTTGATGAGGGAATAACTATACATTATGATCAATTGCTCAAAAAAAGTTGCATTTATATAGTGCTGCCTCTTTAAAGTATATATATTTTAAAAGCCTGTAATGTGACATTCTTTTCCTAACACAGGATTTAACATAATGTCTTCCCACCTTTTGCAACTATAACAGCTTCCACTCTTCTGGGACGACATTTCCTAAGGTAAGGAAATGTATCTATAGAAACCTTTGTTCATTCTTTCGGCGTCATTATTTATAGCATTAAGGCCAAAATATAAAAATAAATAAGTAAAAAGTTCTCTTATCACACACCTCAGATAACTTAAAATCTGAAGCTCTCTACATTAATGTGTTTGACTTTAACAGTAATGGATCCAAAAGCTGATTAAGGTTGTGATTTGCTGACCTCTGGTGGTCGCTTTCTGAAGTGTTAAAAATAATAAAAAAGAAACTGCAACATCCTAACTATGTAGCCTCCTTTAAACCAAACTAAATTGAAGAATAAACAATGGTGTGAACAGTTTTGCATCTCGAAAAGGTGTTTGACATTCTTATCGCATCTTTGCTACAACAGTCACAGTTTGCAAAACTATATCAGAATGTAATTGAGCCGTTTCCTACACCTCACACTAGAAAGATGTTGTAAAATTCTGCTTTTCAATTATTGATTTTGAAAAATTAAAAGCATTACAATGTAAAATAAATAAATAAATAAAAAAAAACATGACAAAGTTACACACCGACATGAAGATTAGGCAAACAGCCCACAAACATGGAGCAAAAAATGACTTAAAGCCAATCAAAAACAATAAACTAGTAAATGTAAATTTGATCGAGAGATGCACAGATCGAGCTTTTTTTCTGGTCACTTCAAATTTCCAGCTCAATTCCAGTTTTTTTTTTACTCCAAGAACTCAAACAGAAAAAATTTCCAACATAAAATGAAAGAAATACAAGTTTCACTAGCTTGTCCCCAAAGTATCGTATAATTTATTGTGGGAGATTTCTTGTAAAAATGTTGATTTATCGCAATAAGTTCCAATTAATAATGCGTAGGGGGAAAAAACTCACTGTATTGGGATTATTTTCTCCACCTTTTCATGTAGGCATTAATAACTTCCAATAAATTGCACAGGATGACTAAAGTGATATAAATAAAAATCAGTTCCATATGAAGGAGACAATTTCAAACATCTTTCAAGAGTGGCATTTGATTTGGAAGCCTTTGATTGCTGTGCCTTAAAAAAAAGGGAGAGACTGAAAAGGAGTGTTTTATCATCATCACGATAAACATCAACCGAAAATATCGTGATGAAATCTGAAGCCCATATCGCCAACTCCGAATTCTGAAACTTTGCGCACCAGCATAACAAAGCGTGAACACAAAACGGTGGCGTGGACGAGGTTATTACTTTTGTTAGAGTCAGCTGAAGTTAAAGGGATGTAGTTGGGGCTCACATGACGGGTCAAAGGTCCCTAATGATGGTGTGCAACAAGGAACGCTAGCAAGTCTTTGTTGATGCTGGCAACTGCAAACAGCTACATGGTGTCGACCACAAACCCGTTCACTCGGAACCTCGGAACTATTCGGAAGTGAAACACGTGGAGTCGACTTACTTCTTGAAGTCGGTGCTGAAAAGTCCAAAGGCGGCCCCGCTGCTGGAGGCGGAGGTCTCCTGCCCCGCTTCCACCGCAGCCTCCGCGCCTCCTTGCTGGTCGTTGTACAGAGCTGTGGTCGACATGACGTCGCTTCTGAAACTGACTCCCTCCGTGTATGTTTGGAGCGGTAAACGTCGCGTCACCTCGTCAGGAAAAATGTCAGCGTAGTGTCTTTTTTCTTCTTTTTTTAAAGTTCCTGCAGAGCTAAACTTCTTCCAGATTTGTTCACAACTTTTTCGCACGCAGAAGCGGAAGTGTGAGTTGGACAAGTTGGAATCACATGACCGGGCTTCAGCTGCAGGGCGGCCATAGATATACAGCGACTAGAGCCTGAAGCAAACGAAATAATGAAGTTCAGTTTTAAATTAAAAGCCCACTGACATAAAAACATTCAGTGAAATAATATATATATACGCACATATTAACAACCCGTGTTTTATTCTTAAAGACACATTAATTACTGACGCATTTGAGTAAATATTAACAGCTTTATCTGTGTATTTTTTTAATTGGTTATCTTTACCATCAGCAGTAAGTTCAAGAAGTTTTCAATAGTAACATTAAAATCTGAAATATTTCCGAATTAAAAAGCAGGTTTGGCTGCCTCTTCTTGTCCGCTTGCGTTTCCCGTCTGTGACGTTTCTGCACTTCCGCCTGACGTGTCCTCGCGTCACGCTCGATCCGGCGTTCTCCTCCAGGATACTGTTTCTGGAAGCGTCAACGTTCCCCCACCTCACCTCCACCTGGCCGTTGTTTCCTCCGAGCCGCCTCACCCGGCTTTCAGGCTTAAATATCACCAGAACCGCCGACGCATTAGACGGACGTGGACGGAACCGACGCGAAGCCGTCCGTTCAGTGGCAGAATGTCCGACTTCGACAGCAACCCATTCGCGGAGCAGGACTTTAGCAACCCGTTTCAGGTAACGCTAAGTTAGCCTCTTTAGCAGCTGTGTTCATGCAACATTAATAGCAACGACATGGCGACACGTTAGTCGGGAAAGTTTGGTACCGACTGGGTTCTGTGAAGGCACTGGAATAAAACTAGTTGAATTTGAAGACTTATATGAAATATAGAAATATACAGCAGGTGTTAGCGCGAACTCAACAGGTTTATACGCACTTAGTTGTTTACGTCTGACTTGGTTCATTTAGTTCATTTATACACTGAATTATATGTTCATATAGAAAATTAACAAGATATTAAATACCTGAGTGATAAGCAGGGACTCAAAACAAAGCAGAGCTATGAGAGCATATTGTCTTTGTGTCAAAATGTCCCTCTTCTGTCTAGTGTGGGGACAGCTTGCCTTTGACCTCGAAGCTCCCCTATAAGTCATATCTGATGGTGCAAAGATGCACAAACGGCCATCAGTGGTTGGTTGAGGATTTTTTTTGGTGAGCCAGAAACTCAGTTATTAAAAAGGTATTTTTGACTGATTTAAGGAGGGTGAAATTCCTAAGAGGGTTCCCACCCAGGGCCGGATTTAGGAGAATAAGGGCCCCTGGGTTAGAGTTAGTTTTGGTGCCCTATCCACAAATAAATAAATAAAGCATTTTACTTATGCAAAGAACTGTGCACTAGTGGATAGATTTATGCATTAGATGGTTTGTCCCAAAAAAAAAACTATGACTTCCGAATTTTCAAATATACACATATACATTGATAAAATAATTTTTAAACTAAATTAAAACAGCATGTTTCACATGAGTCTATGAGTTTCATATAAAGTTCAACGTTTACTAAAAAACAAAAATGCAAAGTCTAAAACTTTGAGCCGCCCCAAAACTTTGGGTCCTGGGCTACTGCCCATACTGTCTCAAAAGTATAAAACAGATCAGCTATACTGTAATCCATTTGCCCTTCCTTTGGGTGTCATTCTGTCTTGAAGCCTGAATGAGCAACTTTCACATCTGTGTTTCATCTGACTTTATATTTAAACTACTCACTCTTACTGAAAATGGCTAACTTTGAGTCTTATTCCCTCGGTAAACCATGCACAAAGAAGAGTGTTGTAGTAATCATGACCTTGTAGAGTTTACGTGTAGTTAAAGCAGTAAAATATATAAACTTCCTATCTTCATCGCAGTATCACTGCTTGCTTGTTTTGTAGAATCTCATATTTTATATTGTACGCAAATTCTGCATTCCAAAAACACTAAAGAAAAGAAGGAAATGGTGTTTCCTTTGCCAAATTGTCATGATATTTATTTCATGAAAATTGTCATGAAATAAATATCATGACAATTTTCCCACATCTGTCGTTTTTAGGGCAAACCAAACATTTAATAGATAATTACGAAATGATCAAATTAGTTCACATCATCATCCACCCTAATTCCTTTCTAACAGAAGAAGTCGCTTTTAAGTTTTGTCTGGTTTTAGACTCTCATTGTATGATAATCTAAAGTACTAGCGTAATCACACAAAAAAGTCAATTAAAAACCTAAAACATCATCAGATTGCTTTCATTGTAAACTAAATCAACAATTATTCCTACTTCCTCATGAAGAATATGAGCATTATGAGTAAAATAGTTAAATAATCTAAATAGTAAAATAATTACAACTGTAAGATTTTTATCTATAGCACTTGTTTTTAGAGAATAAACGCTACTAAATTTAGCAGTTTATTCTGCAGAATATTGCCTCATTTGACTGTTTTTCTCTTTATAGAGTATCTCTGAGGTTTAGCTTTTAGCTTGTTGCTTATAACGGAGTTACCTTGTCATGAGTTGGGCGGCTCTCCCTTTGTTTTCCCTGCATAGGTCTCTGGATGTTTCAGTATCAGAAATATTTAAAATATATCTTGATTTGTGTTTCTTGTAGGCAAAGGAAAAGTGTAGTATCCATGCTTCAGCCAGCTGGCCGGCAGTGACTGTCTCTATTCTGTCTCATTAAATTAGCTTAAAACCAAAAGAGTGGAACAATAGGCCTGTCATGATAACAAATTTTGCTGGATGATTAATTGTCCCAGGAGTTATTGGGATAAATGATAATATTGCTCTTTTCAGACCTTTTTCAAGTAATGCAATGCAAGAACACATTGTCAAATATCAGTACATTTTCAATTCTAATGAATATTTAAACATTAGAACTGGAAGAGATTTTAACTATCCAAAAATAAACAAACAAAACATCAGAAAGGGCAAATAAAATGATGAAGATTCAGCAAACAAAATTGTCTTTCAACAGAAAGAGCTGGTTGAGACCAAAGCAGCAGAGATAAGATTTTTTTTGTCATCCAGTTTTTTTATAAAGAGAGAAAAGAGGAGGGGAAAAACACGATAAATCATGCAAATGGAAATTATTGAGCTTCATTTAATTTATCGTGCCATTTATTGTTTTGGAGCTTTCTGCAACACACCTAGCAAAGAACGGAAAATGTTTGAAATCTTTTGTAACCATGACAGCTTTGAAAATTAAGGAATCAATTTGAAAATGAATCTGATGTCGTCATCATCGAATGATGACGTACCCAGTAAATCATCCATTTCCTTCATTTCCAGATCCCGCGCAATGTCGGCCATTACCCTCGGCGCTATAATCAATACTTGATGGAATCATATGGTGGCATTATTGGCGACATATGGGGCGAATTGACCCTCTGGTCTTTGACTGTTTTGTCCTATTTCTCAGAAAGTAGGTTAATTATACTATGTCAGTGGTAAATATGGTAGACATTTTTATGCACGTCTACATTAAAAACAGTCTCCATGATGGAGGCATGCAGCAGGCAGAGCGTGCCAGATGATCTTTTGATGTTCCAAAAGAAGAAGGAAAAAAAAACATACACAGTTCATTTGCATTGGGTTTGTGGAGCCAGGCAGTAGGACAGCATTAAAATTTAAACGCAGTGTACACTGAAAAATTAACGACAGCGCTCCGGTGACGCCTCGTTTGCATGCGGAAGAGCTGCTGCGAGACATTTAAGAGTCGAGGAGAGACAATAAGAGGACATCACCGGGACTGGATGAGGCTGCCACTTTAGGAATAACCCAGATTGGATGTTTGTCTCCAGCAGCCATTTGAATGACACTCGCGCGAGGCTAACCGGCAGCTCATGGTAAGCCAATTATGAAACAGAACGGTGACGATATATTGTCATCTCTTGGGTGCAGGGACGAAGATTTGAATACAAATACCTGCATACCGGGGCTGTGCGACGTGGTTTGAAAATTAATTATTTTTATTTTGGCAAATCATTTCCGGTTTTAATTGATTTTTCTTGTTTGTTTTGTTTTGGGGACGCGAAACCTGTGACGCATGCGTCCGTGAATCACGCGTTTTACTTCTACACTTCTTCAATTTTACCAAATATTAAAGTCGTAAATTTATGTGAGGAAAAAAATTTTCAGGGGGAAACCCCCTCAAAACTGAGGGGCTCTTCAGTTCATGTTTGTTCTTCGAAATAGATTCAGTCTTATGCAGAATCGTTTCAAAGTTCTGCTGCTGATAATTCAATGCTAATGTGTTTAAAGATTCAATATTTCTGTTTAGTATTAGCTGTAAAACCTATATATAAGTATAACTTGAAAAGAACATCAACATTCTTCATTTAAATTGTTAGAATATTTTTTGTGTTGGAGGTCTCCTAAAATTACATTATTCTTCTAATTTTGCAGAGGTATTTGTGAAATCCGAATGTTTTCATGTCATAAAAAAACAAGAAATCTAATATACCGTCATAGAGTTTGCATAAAGTCCAAATGGAAGCTGTAAAACGCGCTTGTCAAAGAAAATGTTTGGCCAAATTGCTATTTTCCAAAAATTTAATCTTCAAAAACCAAAATTTTGATTAATTGATGAAATCAGTTTTTCGCTCTGCCCTAAATTATCCATGTTTTTGTTTACTTATTTATTTAAATTTTACTCAGGACACAGCTGTCATTTCTTAGCACTTTAGAGTTCTGATAGTTTTACAATTCAATAATTAGCTGGATTCTTATGAGAAACACGTGCCAGATGGTGCTCTTCTGTTTATGTGTCGGAAGCAGTGAAAAGGATCCTATTTGAACTCAAAAGGTCGACTATTTTTGATTTTGTCTTGTGAAAGTTATTGAGATGATCTTTCCTTTGCCAATATTGAATTGTAGACTAGTTTTGTTTGAACAAAGAGAGCTCTCATGCCCTCTCTCATGCTACTTTTCAAAATCCAAATCTTGTGATAGATTTGAAAGCACTGCCACATGAAGCCAATTGTCTGTTTCAGGATCCATCGGTGACACAAGCAAGACAGACGGCCACTGCAGGGCTAGAGGAGTACAACCCCTTCACAGATGCCAAACCAGTGAGTCTTTGAACACTCACAGATTTGCATATAAATTTTTTTTTTCTCTGAATTGATCCCTGATGCTCACTTTTTCCAAGTTAAAACCTGTAAACTCACTTGTCATCTTCTTTTATCAAGGCACAGTACTGCCACAGAAACAGGTAATCTAAATTTGAAACAGTTTTCAAATTTAGATTATTTCTGCAAGAAATGTTTACTCTGTTGGGCTGAAATAATTCATTGTGATTAATAAATAATTGAAATACTGGTCAACCAATTTAGTAACTGATTAATTGTTAACTAGAGCAAACAGACTCTTAAAAAAGTCAATTTGCTGAAAGAACAAATAGCTGCTCTCTTCATTTGGAGATTGGTGATTTTTGCTAAAAACATCCACATATGCCTGAAAAATAGAGAAAACGAGCAAAAACAAAACTAATGCTGAATATCTTCTTATAAAATGGATTTTTAAAAATATTTTGGGTTGATATTTTCTGTGAAATATTCCATCAGAATTCCCCTGAGGGAAATGGTTCACCCAGTGTTTCAATGCAGTGTTATCAGATTTTTATTGTCCTATTGGAAGAAGGTATGAACATGGTGATAACTCAGCATGTTCGCCATTTGAAGAAACATTAACTTTCTTATGTACTTGCAGCAGGTTTTTTCGTTTTGTTTTGGGGGGTTTTAAAGAGCATTTTCCATGTCACCTCATTGTCACACACTGTGAGATAGTTGCGGTCTCACAAAAAGAAAAAGAAAAAAAACACATTTAAATGGCTGTTTCCTTTTTTGGCTCCTGTTCAGAGTCCTATAGGTATGGCTCCCAGGAGTGCAGGCCCCGGGGCCACCACACAGCCTGCCATCATGAGGGCCTCAGAGGAGCCTCCAGCCTACTCACAACCTCAGGCGCAGGTACACCAATAAAAAAAAAACTGCATGTTTCGGGGTGGGGCCTGGAGGGATTCTGTAGTTTTGATGCAGATTTCTAGCCAAACAGCCCCCAGCATCACTGAGCCACTTCTAGGCAATTCATAGAACAAAATTTCCAAACCTCTTTTGGCCGGAGGCATCTGAACGCTGCAGGAGGCAACGTTTGGGAAGAGAGAATTTAGGTCTAGTCTGCAGGAGTAACAACACAAAAGCAAATGCAGAAGAACCCAAAATGTTTTCTGGCGTGTTGATGAATTCCTTCTGGATTGTGCTGGCAGGAGTCGTCAGGAGCAGCTTCTGAGCTTCTGCGGAGGCAGGAGGAGCTGGAACGCAAGGCGGCGGAGCTGGACCGGCGGGAGAGGGAGATGCAGTCCCTCAGCGCATCAGGAGGTCAGAGTGACCTATTTTGTAATTCCTACAAAAATATCTTAGCTAAACATTTATTTTCCACACAGATGTTCTCTCTTTAGCAATAATGAGTTGTTGTTTTTTTTGACAACTTGGTTTAACTTAGATCAAAATGGGGGAGGGCATCGCAGAAAGTTGGAGGGAAGATGAGAAAAAAAGGGGGAAGAAGAGAATAAAAACATTCTTAAAGTTGATGTTCACATATGTTGAAGCGTTTCTTGTGGCTTCGTCTGTTTGGGGAGCCGTGGCATAGAAAAGTTTGGAAACCCCCTGACTGGTATGATCACATTGAGAATTAAACGATTCTCAGATCTTTCTTTACTTTGTAACAGTTTTTTATGACATTTTGAGCTTTTAATTAACTGTATGTTGATTGATCCAGGCAGGAAAAACAACTGGCCTCCTCTCCCGGAGAAGTTCCCGGTGGGGCCGTGTTTCTACCATGACATCACCGTGGACATTCCTGTGGACTTCCAGAAGACGGTCAAAATCATGTACTACCTCTGGATGTGTGAGTAGCTTCTCACCTTTTAGGATTTACAAAGCCTTAACAACGCTTTTAGTGATCAGTTAACTGTTAACTGGAGGATAGATACTCTAAAAACGGGCAACACACTCAGAGCAGTTTAAGCATAAAGATTAAACTCAAATGAGTAGAATAAAGACTCAATGTTACCAAATATTAAAATTATGAGGAAAAGTAGTTTTAATGAGATCAGATTTTGAATCGTTATAAACATCTGACATAACCCTCTTTCTTTGAAATGATCATTTCGTGTCCTGGTGCTCATAATAATTTCATTGTCATGTTCTAGAATGAAACATGAGAATGTTGGTTATCATTGGGTTAGTTACTTTAAACCACAATGAAGAGTAACTCTGCATTATATTCCACATTTCCACATTTCTGCTTCAACCACCTAATATACAACCTTATTCTGCTTTTTTTCTGGTAATATTGACATTATTCTCATATTTATTTATTTAGTATTGACTTTACTGTAGTCTATTTACTTTATTCTTGTATAATTCTTAATTTATTGTCATTTGTTCTCACAATATTATGACCTTATTCTCAAAATGAAAAACGTTTTGTCTCCTAAGCCTGCCGCTAATAGTCTCCCATACAAACTGCTCAATAAAATACACGCAAGATTGTGCTTGAAAGATGACAGAGACAAAAACAAAAGAAGTTCAGGGGTGTAAATACGTTTTGCAAGGCACTGTATTGTTATTATTGCCTTCACCGGGGGGTTATTTAAGTTAAACAGAGTCTCAGTTGTTTAGTCCAAGCGGCTCTCGTCACCCCTGAATAAAAGCTGAGGTCTTGCAGCTGGTGCGCGAGTGTAAACTAGAAGATGAAGGACTCTGTGTAGGAATTCAGTCGCCACATGACAAACACGTGTTGTGTGATCATGTGGTCCAACGAAAGGAATGGGTCAGGTGATTCCTTAAAGGTTGCTGTGGTCCACATCCAGACCTAAAAGAGAACATTAGCATTCAGCCAACAAAGTCTAGTGAACAGACTCTGTCTTGAGTCTGTTCACCAGCAGCCTTGTGTCATATTCCACACTGTGATGTGAAATCCCAGAGTCAGGCAAACTCTGTGCTTTTAGTAGTTATTAGGACTCAGAGAGCAAATGCTAAAGAAAATTTAAGTGTACTTGTTTTGTTTTTCCAAACCAACATGTTGAAATATTAAGCATCCATTTTCTTCTGCCCACTGGGGTTTATTGATTAATGAACTAATCTAAAGTTGATTGATCGTATTGTTCAATTGACGATAATTTGATGAGTGGCCATTTTCTTTAAACTCTTGTTTTCTCTTGCACAAAGAGCGGCGTCAGTATTTTCATAACGTAAAGGGCTTAATTTTTCATAATAAGCTGTTTTTTTGTTTTGTTTTTTTATTTAGGTTTTTTTTTTAAGTCGTTACATTTTAACATTATTTTGTGAGCTGTTTGAAATACTGACTGAACAAACAGAAAATTGTGTTTTTTTTTCACACGATTCAACTAACAATACAGGAATTTGTGTTCTACTGTAAAGAGATAAAAGATGAAAAGAATGGAATCTATGAAGCACTTAATTCCCCATGAACTGAGAGCTGTTCATACAGAAGTACAGTCTGCAAGAAACGCTGAGACTTCACTCCTTGAAGTGCATCAACTCACAACAGATCTCAGAATCGACGTTGCTGATTGGCTCCATGTTTTCGTAGCATAGCAGTAGTTTCTGAATGAGAAGTTGACGCAGGTCAGGTGAATGAGCGCTATTAAAAGTCATAACTTTAAAAACTTGGCAAAGTTCATATTTTAAATTAGAACAGTATAAAGTGCCTTTTGCATCCCACACAGAATTCTGTTCAGACCGTTTCTCTTACCCATTATACTGCGACTTCATCATCTTTAGTCCTGTGTCCACTGGAATGGCCAGCAGTTCCCTCCCCTGGATGGAGGCCAAACTACAACATTAAAAGGAGGTCTAAGGAGACATTATTAGTTAGTTGACTGGAATTCATTCTGATCTAACAAGCCATTAATTGATAGTTAATTTGAAGTCAATGAATTGTTTGCATCCCTAAAGTCTTACAGTCCCAGTTTCAGTCGTCGCTCCTTCATCCTCCTATCCTGCTTTCAGTTCACGCTGGGACACTGCTGGCCAACCTGGTGGGCTGCCTGGCCTGGTTCTGTGTGGACGCGGCACGCGGAGTGGACTTTGGCTTGTCCATCCTCTGGGTGCTGCTCTTCACGCCTTGTTCTTTTGTCTGTTGGTACAGACCGCTTTACGGAGCATTCAGGTACACAGATCTGCAGGAAAAGACAAATGGTACAGGCGACGTTTCCTGTTTCACTCATATTTTTCTCTTTGTTGTTCTTCCTGCAGGAGCGACAGCTCTTTCAGATTTTTTGTCTTCTTCTTTGTGTACATCTGTCAGTTTGGCGTCTACGTCCTCCAGAGTATTGGGATCACTGGCTGGGGTGCGAGGTGAGACGATGAGGTTAAACGTTTTGTGTTTTCAGCAGAATGTATTTCACTTATATCGTAGGATTATGACTAAAAGTTTGCGTATCACAGGAAATGTGCAAAAATGGGAGTATTTTATTTTTTTTAGCATTTGGTAGGAGATTTATGTTCTGATGGAAATCAGAGAATTTGTGGCAAAACTTAAAAATTGCCGTTCGCAATCCAGACAGATTAGACGTAAGGTTGTGTATGCCTATTTTGTAAATGACTACATGCACAAATATGACTTTCTAGATCTGCCCGGCTGGTTGCGACGTGCCCCAAAACACATCTTGAACTGACAAGAAATGCAAGTTTGTAAACGGTGCATTCAGACTAGCCCTGTTTAATTCGCTTTCAGCAAACTCTAGTTGGTTTGCCTAGAAAGTCCTGTTCGTTTGGGGAGTTTGATTGAGTGATTGAACTCTGGTCCACATAAAAACCAGGAAGGTTGAACTGAGCTGTGGCACGCTTCAAAGGCATATATGGATGCTAAGCATACTAAATATACAAAAGCAGGAAGTGCTCTGGAGCACGTTTTGCTACTTTGGGTGAGCACGATTAAAACAAATGTCCGGTTCTAGGACTAGCAGAAGAAACAGCTTGTGGTCTATTACCAAAAACAAAATAGATCCTACAATCACTAAAATCTGACGCCACTCCATTTCTGTTTACAATTCACGAAGATGGAAATTGTGTTCAGTGTCTTGAAATGTTTGTGTCATTTCCTTAAGTTTATCTTCACACTTTGTGGCAAAGTGTAAAGATAAATATGAGTATTTAATGCAGGAAATGACATGTTTTTTGGTTTTGGTTTCATGTTTTTTGAAAGAAATATCACTGCGTCTGTAGAGTTATTAATGTTCTGTCGTGCCGCTCCTCCATCTTAGCGGTTGGATCTCGGCTTTGACTGGCCTGAACAAAAGCATCCCAGTGGGCATCCTGATGATCCTCATTGCAGTTCTCTTCACCTCCCTGGCTGTCCTGTCCCTCATTATGTTCAAGAAGGTAAGCCTCTCACAGATTCGTCAAACCTTTGTGAACGAATGAGATGAACCCTCTGGTTGTCTTTCAGATCCACGCGCTCTACCGTACCACTGGCGCCAGCTTCGAGAAGGCCCAGCAGGAGTTTGCCACTGGCGTCATGTCCAACAAGACGGTTCGGACGGCAGCCGCCAACGCCGCCTCCACGGCTGCGCAAGGAGCGTTCAAAGAGCAAGTCTAATCAACGTGAAGAGCTCAGTCCCCTCTCGCCATCCTCTCTTATTGAGCCTCCCTCCAGCTGTCAGACGGGAACTGAGGAGGTTAACAAGCGGCCTTTGATCTGACATTCAAGAACAATCTCACCCTCCATGAGAAACAATCACCTGGAACGTTCCTGGGACCCGGCCGTGTTGCGCACTCTGGAACCTCCTCTTAACCACTTAACCTGCGTGCTTGACTTCCTCTGTGTGTGTGTGTGTGTGTGTGTGTGTGTGTGGTGTGTGTGTGTGTGTGTGTGTGGGTTTGTGTGTCTGTGCGTGCGTGTGTGTGTGGCCGAGCTAATAAATGCTTGTGTGCCTTTTTGGATGTTTGCTGTTGCCTGTAGGATCAGGAACAGATACTTGACTCTCTGTCTCTTCGGGACGTTTGTTCCCTCCATTAACCACTTCACAATACTTTGACCTCTCGTTCAAATCACTTGATAGTAATTAGTTTATTATTGGGTGAAAAGAAAATGCAAAAATGTCTTCTGGTAACTTTTAATCTATGCTAAAATCAAAAGGTGCATAACTTAAGACCAGGGCCCCCTAGTGGAGGGAGTGTGTATTTCTAAAAGATGGATGCTGTGCATTCTTGGTCATAACCTTGTATTTTTTTTCATCCTTGCTTTTTTTCTCTCCAAACTTTAATGCAAATCCTGGAAGTCTTAACATAATTCACTCAAAATCTTAGACTCTCCAATCAAGTCTGTGTTGCATTTTTATACACAGTAGTTAAGCAGATGAAGGTAGTGCAAAAACATTCAATTGAAGAAACTCATATCAGCAGCTGTAATAGAAACATTGACCTCTAGATGGCAGTGTTGACTAACCAGCAAACCAGATATTCCATCAAATCATGACTTGTCCATCCTATTCTTTCCCTTCTTTTTTTTTGTACATTTAAAGAAACAAGTTTGAGATATTTAACTTCTATTTGATGTCATTTGCTTTGAAACTTTTCTCCAATTTTGCAATTATTGTTGAAAAAGTAAACTATTTATTCTTTTTTTTTTTTTTTTGACATGTTTTTTTTTTTTTTTTTTTGCTTGTTTCATTCGGCGTACTCTTTCCATTGTGCAATCCAAAGAACGTGGCACTTTAAATTTGGAAGTACGGTTCAGGCTCCGATGAAGACGATGGCTATGAAGCACCGTCAGTGCATTTTATCTTCTGAAAGAAAAAAACAAATCATTTGGATATCTATTTTTCTAGAGATATTACGAGCCCCACGGTGCTTTCCAATGCTTGAATGTTTCCTCAATCACAGTTTGTGTTATGAAGTGTAACAGCCACAAAAGCCTTTGAAGGAAGATGTATAAAAAAAAGGTCTTTATTTACTGTCCATATCCCATCAATGATGTTACAAAGCAAGGAGAGGTCATAAATGAAAGAAGGGTATTTCTGCATGGTACCTACTGATTTTTTTTTTTAATTTGATGAATAATGTAAAACTGAGAGAAGTGCTTAACTTGTATGCAGTGTGTTTATGTAGATGCACAGTGGCTTCAGGTTATTCCTTACAGTCAGCATGGTTTGATGTATACACTGGAACTTAATTTATCTCTAAGCCATTTCTGGTGACTGTAGAGGGGTGAGAAGGACTGCATGTATATTTTGTATGCTCTCAGATGGTTTTGGTGTCATTCTAAAATGCACACTGGTTTTACCTTCAGTCATGTGTTGAGTAGTTTGAGGTTGTATAATTATTGTTCTAATAAATAAAATTCTCATTCCGTATGAGTTCCGTTGTTTCTTTTTGCGGGCTTATCGAGCTGACAGTCTGCAAAACAGATAAAAAGCAGACTTGTAATGTCAGCTAACTACCACAGGGTGTCACCAGTTTCCTCCCAATGTCTGATTTCACATTGGTGGATTTGACACCCGATTTATTATGAAGGGATTGAGAACCGTCACCAAATGCAACGGTGTGAATGATGGAAGCTATTTTTTCTGAATAAACAGAGCAGGAACGACGGACCGCGGTCTCTCAGCGGCGGTTTGTTGGGCTGCTGCCTGGGGGTCCGCCCGACTCATCATCAAGCAACTGCTCTGGTGGCGGATTCAGAAGACATCTCAAAGTAAGAGCTGTTGCTGGTTGTTGTTGACAGCCAAAGCACTTTGGCTGGTTTGTTTTGATTCACTGCGATGAGCCGAGAAGGATTCTGCTTTGTTGAAAATTCTTTTATCTTGAGTTTTTTCTTTGTTTTGCGCCGTTTTGAAGCAACTCGCTTGTTGGAATCTTAAGTCTACAGTTGGAAATGAGTTGTGATGTGAAAGAAAGATGGCCGCCAACGCTTTGATGGATACAGTTGAACGGCTGCAGCCACTTAAGCTCAGTACGTACATCTCTATAATAAACCTTCATAACATATTATTAAAGTGATGATTTATTGTAGCGATATTGACAAATGTTAAGAGAAAATATGTTGTTGGGAAGTTCAGTATTTAAATCACAGAATAACTTTATTTTTTGCACCTACTTAATCTTACCAGTATGTGCTACGGTTATCAATAACACATTTTATGCGCATTTAACAACATTTAAAAGTTAAAGGTGAAAACCAGTTATTTTTGCGGCAGAACAATGTTTGGTTCATGGGACTTCACTTCTGCTAAGCAATGGCTAATGGAGAGATCTGCTGAAGCTACAGGTCAGAGGTCACAGAGGTAAGGTTCACACTGCCTGGTCCACCATCTGGTTTTTAGATCGTACCCTTCTCAAAACAAAGAAGAAGAACCCAAAATAAAAAAAATTGTAATTAGAAGTTTAGAAATTAGAAGTGTTCTCGTTTATAGAAAATTATAAATCATTAAAGGAAATTTGACATGGTTGCTAGTTTGGAACTCGGCTGAACTCATTATAGGAGCTGCTTCTCAATGCAGCGCTGGTAAAAAACGTCCTTGAAGCATTAATCGAGGAGCCATGCTGCGATGACTTCCTGATGGCGGAGTTTCAGAAAGAGGCGGAGCTTCTTAAAGAAACAGAGACCCAATTTCAGAGTGTTGAATGTCGAAGTCGATTTTCTTTTGAATCGTATTTGATATGTACAGCATTTTTCTAACAACTGAAGGTAACATATTTGCTTGTTTGTGCACCATGTGCCAAATAAAGGCATAATACTGCTGCTTTAAATGGTTGTTGCTGACAGCCAAAGCACTTTGGCTGGTGCTTTAAATGTGTGCTGGTGTGAAATAATTTGCATTTGACATCATATAGCTACTAAATGCATGCATTTCTTATATTTTGTGGTAGATACCTGGGAGTAAGCTGTTATACTAAATGCTTTTGCTTTAATATTACAAGTAAGTTGATTAAGATATTTTATATTACATATTTAAAAAATATATTGAGTGTGTACTTATCTGTATGACAAATTAATACAGATTTTCCAAAGCTTTGTTCATGATTATGGTGTAACACTGTATTTACATGTTGGGGAAATTTGCAACTCAAATGCAACTTTAAGCCATAATTACCCAAGAAACTGAGTTCAGTCATTTTTAAATCATTCATTCCTACGGTGTGTGTCCATGAGTCCAAATCTTCCCCGTCAAGGTGTGAGAGGACGCTGAGCATCAGAGGCTCCGGCTCCTTTCATCCTCGCTTTATGAAATTGCCAATCAACCCAAAGTGTCTGGCAGCTAATCGGGCCTGACTCTCTGCAGCCACTTGTCAATCTGGAAGTCATCAGCTGCCGTTCGAGCCGAGCTTGCGGCGAGGAAAATGGGGGCCGCGGGGCCGTGCCAGCAGCTTTGCTGCCGGACGCGTGGATAGAGCAACATCTGGGGAAAGATGCTGCTTGTGCTTTGTGTGTTCATTCACAGAAAAGACAAGAGGCAGGGTAGAACCGGTTTGGAACAGATCTGAAAGATGTCTTTAAGATTTAAGATTTTCAGAAAGGGCTGACAGGTGGCAGTAACCCAGGGTGCAAAGTTTTAGGGGCAGTGAAAAAAAAAGTGCGTTTTCTGTGTATGTTCATAATAGGCTCTTTTTGCATTTAGTGTTTAATGGACTAAAGATCTGCTGTTGTTGTATCATAACCTTTAAGTGAATGAGAAAATGAGACGTTGAACCCAACAATTTTTGATGCTAAAGGTTAAAGTCCTTCTTTACGGCAGACATCTTTAGCTCTCGGTCCCTGTAGAAGAAAAGCTCTCAACCTCTCTCAACCTCATACTGCCACCACCTTGTTTGTATGAAAGGACAGCGCAGTGTTCATTTTGCGCCACGCCTGCCAATATTTTGATTTGAGAATCGATTTTAAGAGCATAAATTTCGAGTCTTGATATTTCCAAAATCGATCCAAACATCGCTGTCGGACATACCGGACTACGGAGTGTGGTATCATCCTCAGAAACGCACAGTTCAGATCTGCATCAGTGGAAAAACTGATCACCCACCTCCAAGGCCAAAGCGGGGTCTCGCTGCGTCTGCACCACCGGAGGAACACCCACTACAGACATCGTCGGTTTTCCCTTCTCTTTATTAATTTGGCAGAAACAAATCAGAACAGAAACGACACTATCTTCGACTTGGCACACACACGCACGCACGCATACGCACACACACACACTCCCTGAAACCAGACAGTACTAACAACAGCAATACTTCATTTCCTCGAACCTTCTTCACAGAGCGTCCGTTGGACCGTCCTCCTGCAGTCCCGAGTGAATCCTTCCCACCAATACATTTCAGCGGTCTACGAAAACATGAATCGTTCAAATAGTACATTCTGGAAGCTCGAACAGGACATCCACTCTGAGCTAAAGGCTGCTTATTCTGACTGAGTTAGTGGTTCCCTTGATGAGTTAACACTCACTTGTGGCACACAGTTAAAACAAAAAGAACCAGGATTTGCTGGTCGCGATATTACGACGGTGCATTAGAGCCTTTGCAGATTAACGAAAGAACTTGGACATTTGAGTGTCAAAAGTTCACATGAAAAAAACTCAGGAATTTTGAGTTTAACAGAGAAAAGTTTATTTATTTTCTAGGAAATCTCCAGAGTGTTTTGCCAAAATGTGCTTTTTTTCTCCCACCTACAATGGCTCTAATACGTCGCCGTCGTACGATCTGGTGACAAAATCACCAGGTTACAATTTCTTTTTTCTTTCTTTCTTTTAACAGTGGCAAGAGTGACGTCATCGGGCCTGCCAAGAACAAGCCGACCATCATTCTGCAATCATGGCTATGTACAAAATACATATAATCACATTTATTTACAGAACATGTGGCAACAGCAGAGCCACGACATGAATACAATAACAAACACAGCACCTCCTGGTGTCACAGGGACAAAGACGGCAAAAAAAAAAAAAAAATAAAAATAAAAATAAAACTTGGCACTTGCAGATTTCTCCCACATCGACGCAAGATGGAGATGAAACAAGAGTCGGTTTTTAGTGGTAAGCAACCCTCACAGGAGGCAGATCAGGCTCTTGCCCTCCTCGATCTCCTCCTGGACTTTGTCGCTGGACGTGGCGATCTCGGCCTGAGCCGAGAAGACGGCGCAGACGAAGGTGAGGACGGTGCCCCCCATGGCGGTGTAGAAGGCCCAGCCCATGGAGCAGAGCCCGGCGCGGTACGGGGCGGCGTCGTGGCCGCAGTACAGCTGAACCTTGTCGGAACCCCAGCCAGCAGGGTACAACATCAGACCCAGAATCAGGAACAGACCTGTGGGAAGACGAGCGGATCGGGCGGTTAGCTTGGAGGGTTTGGTGACCAAACGCAGTATAGATATATATATATATATATATATATATATTATATATATATATATATATATATATAATATAAATCCACAACAGCCAGCAGCGGCTAACAGGCCAACAAAGTTACTGCTGCACCAGACCAGATCTGCTTACCAGATATTTGACTAATAAAAATGTAACCAATTGTATATAACTAAACCACATAAGGAACGAACGCAGAATGCATCATTAATCAGACATTAATGTCATGTTGTGTTCAGTTTGGTTTAGTGAACAAAACTGGAGTTCATCAACTTCTAGCTGCAGAAAACCATTTGGGGTTTGCTGTGGTTAGCGACCTGGCTAACGACCATTAGCTACACGCCGATTGTACCTCTGCAGGAATACAGACACTGGTTTATTTAACTGCAACAACTTGCTAACACGTGGCGGCCATGTGGGATATTGAGCTGACTTCCCTCAACTCTCCAAGCTGTAAATTTGACATCCTTACAGATTTTTCTGTTTGGAAATTTAATATTCAGCCTTCCAAGAGCAAATTGTATTCACTGTTACTTTTATTACGTCTTCACTTCTTTTGCATGAGCTAGCTAGCGTTAGCACTGCGGTACTTCTGGCAGTTGCTAGAAGCACAGAAAGACGCAGTTTGAACCCATAATAAGCCATTGCTTAATAGTTAAAAGTTGCTTTACATCCATTATGGTTGCCCTGCGTTGGCCATTAGTGAAGTGGTTAGCTTAATTAGCCTCATTAGCTTATCGCTAATGAGGCTAATTAGCTATAAGCTAATTAGCTACATGAGCTACATCGTTAGCTATAATGATGTAGCCTCATTATAGCTAATGAGGCTACATCAACATTAGCATCTAGCTGTATTTCCATGTGTCGATGTGGCATAAAATTCCAGTGAGGGGATTCCAAGGTGCCTCTGCTGACGAAAATATTTGTGAAAAGCAAAAACATTTCCCGTCGGAGTCCCATGACGACGCTTAAAAGAGAGAGAGAAAAAAAAAAGGTCGCATCAGGCGGGGAATGATTTCCTGATTTCCCGCCAAAACCTGCGACCGAACACACGTGCGGCCAGACCCTCGAGAATGACAGGAAGGAGCGGCCCACCCCTTGGATCTTCACCCGCTGTCCCGTCAAAGGAAAGCGGAGAACAACAGGAAAAGGTAGCCGACCCAACCGCACGGTTTCCTGCGTCTCAGTGGAAGTCGTCAAAGCCGCAAACCGCCTTGACCAAGTCACAAGGTTTCCGCCTTCTCTTCAGATGGGTCAGTCGGCCATTGACTCATACTAATGCAGTTGCAGAGACCCAATGAGCCGCGCAGGAAATGAGGATTTCAGCCCCTCTTCCTCCTCTCTCTGTAGCCGATCTTATTTCGCTTCTGTAAAACAAGGAGGCAAAACGCCGTCGCTCCTAATCCCTCTTCCTCTCTCCTCGCTTCCTTTCGTTCTCCTCTCTCTTCCAGCGCCCAATATCACATTAAACAAGGAAATGAAAACTAGGTCATAAATTCTTTCCACATGTTGCTGCGCTGCCCCGACGTCCAGGCCAGGCCCGGTGATGGATTGAAGGCATGGTTTTAATTCCCAGCGCCGCACCACACACACACACACACACACACACACACACACACACACACACACACACACGCACACACACACGCACACACACATGCAGACAGATACATGCAGTCATTCACAGCCCCCGCCACCTCCTCCACCTTAAAACTGGACTCTAACCTAATATCCTACTGAGCTCCACCCTCATTTAGCCTCAGTGACCCTTTGCTCTCGTCTGCGTTGCTTCCAGACTGTCAGTTCTCTGCCGCCGGTCCACCTCTGACAGATCCGTTCCCTCAACACCAATTCTCCTCCGTTCAGGGAATAAATAGGATGTCTGGGCGCAGTGGTCGATATTTAGAAAGGGATGCTATGACTTTTTATGGTTTCACATCAAAGTGTAGAAGAACCGGCATCAGTGTTATACATTTTTTTGACACCCCTCAAATGAGGTTTTTCAAGCTCGATGAGGAAATGTTTTGGGATTTCCAAGTTACACACAAACGCAAACCAGAAAGAAAAAGATAGTAGGTTACGAACTGCGATTCGCTTTTTATTGGTGCTGCTGGGCGTTAGACCTCAATAGGGCGAAGGTGTTTCTTTATATTCCATTAATGCCGGTTGTGTAATATTCGACACACACCGCGGATCGTGTTCCCACCAACTCATGATCAGATTTAAGCCAGAACATGATTTCTTCCACTTTGCACACTATTGTGTGCGCAATACTCGAGTAAACAATCTTCTAAACAGAAACAGAAAAAGAAAAAAAAAAAAAGCATAGGAAGTCGGCTGACAGCGTTGAGACCCGCCCCCTGGCTCTGATTGGTTGTTTTTGGTCGGGAGCGGTGCGTCTCTTCAATAACAACAGAGATCTTTTCACAAATGATTCGTCTCGACTTTTTTTTTTTTAAATATCTTTTTTGTAAGAGTCGCATACTTCACCTATTTGCAAATGAAATATTCCCTGATAAAAGTTGAATTTTATCCTCAGGAAAACATTCCATGAGTATTTCCACTCGGTACTCATGAGTCATCGCCATGGCAATAATAACTTCCTTATCTGGGTCTGTCAGGCCCAGTTTTATCTTCATTGTGCCACACCTGCGGCGTAAACACAGATCTCCAGGAAGTGCTCCTAAAGGCCCGGCTGCGCTGTTTTGCCATCATTCAGAGCGTCTGCTTCTCTGCTTTATATGAAGTGGGATTTCTTCCGTCAGTGTCAATAACTCCAGAAACACGGCCCTCAACTCCTGCTGCAGGGCGTTTCGTTCCCTTCGCTTCCAGTCTGGAGTTTCGTGGAGTTGCGCAGCAAAACCTGCAGCAGGGCCTGCGACTCCAGGCCAGAAGGAACTTTACTGTGGCTCATAAAGGCACACGGCAGCAAACACACAGGAATCAAGAGACAGTTTTACAGCTGAGTTTGTTTGGCGTCTCGTCTCTAATCCTTTTCCTGCTCCGGCGAGGCAGGCATTTCAGTAAAAGTGGAAATAAATTCACTTATAGGTAGTCTAACTGCTGCATAACAGGCCTTTTGGGGGCCCTTAAAATGCGCGCCGCCAGGATGCAAGGCTTAGCCGACTGACCCTCTGCAGACGTCTGCTCGAGTCATTTCTGCAAGTCCTGAAACCACCCAGGCCCACGCAGTTTTGGCGCTTAACGGTTTAGCGAGACGTGGCGGCGTTCGGGACGCGTGTCGCAGGGTGACATCGGGGTGACGAGGAGACGAGGTTGATGGGGCTGGGAATCGCTCCAGCGCAATGACGCGACCGTCTCTGGCAGCAGCCTCGCAATCTTCCCGTCTGAGGTCAGTCGCTTTCCCAAACATCTGCCGCCTGGTTACAGATTTCTCATTACCGTGGTGACGGCACGCTTTCTGGAAACAATCATTAGCAAAAGAAAGTCGACGTGGTACACGGCCTCTCCGGCAGACGTCAGCCGGAGCGATCGTCACCTGCCAAACTCTTCACAGGACGAACTCTGTTTGAAACGCACTGATGGACGATGGACGCCGGAGGGAGAACGAATCAAAAGAAACATTTATAGTGACACGGCGGGCGGCGGGCCGGCCGGCCGGCTCCGGTTTCAGCCCACTGGGGTGAAATGAGGGAGTGGGGAAAGCGATCAGAGTTCAGCCGCAGGGAAGCGAGGGGAACTCGGTCGCCTCAGTCGAAGCTCCTCCTGACTGAGCTGCATGTCGTCTCAGAGAGGATTTCTGACCAACCGTGCTCAAGTTTCCATCACCTGCACTGATAGAGAACAGGTGATAAAACTCAAACACATCGTGGAAATGAATCAAACTAATTAGCTTATTAACTTGTCAAGTTCATTGTTATTTTCTAAGTTGGAGCTGCATTCTCTCTTTTTTCCAGTATAGTTGACAATTTGAGGTCAGGATAAAGAATTTCGGACGCGGCACCACGGCATGACGGTCCCCCCGCCGTGCTCGACAGTCAGTACATGTCATCTGTGTTTCGCGTTTTCTTATTCTCCTCCGCTACTGTGGCCAAGTCGAAGTCCGGTTGACAATTTGAGGCAAGACGTCAAAACGCATTGAAATTGGCATCAGGAATGTGACAAGTTGTGAAAAAGCATCGAGTCGTATGACTGAATTCAGCGAGGCGCACAATGAAACCTCCGCCTATAAAGTTATTTAAAGTCACTTTTATTAGCTTTGACTTGGAGCAGCAGAACTGAAGGGGTTTCGGTGGATTCTAGGGTTTACAGCATTTCGGCGTGTCCTTCACCACTCGCCCAGCTTTTCTGGTTGGCCCCGCACCAGATAAACAACAGCGGGGGAGGACAGCCATAATCACCGGTGGGGGTGAAGAGAGAGAGAGAGAGAGAGAGACCGCTCCTTTAAGCATGACCTCAAGGCCTCCTCCCCTCTATAATTCACCTCTTCTTGTCAAAGTGGCCCGAGCTCGTCCCTCGGTCGCAGAATCCGGGCAGAACCCGCATTCGGGGGGGACGGTCGCCCCGGGCGACGGCAGAGCATCGCCCCCCGTCTTTCTCGTTTCCTGCGCACACGACAGAGTCGCCCCGCCTCCCTGCCCCGAAGCGGCTCCAGCGGAACAGAAACACATAATTCCAGCAGTGGGAGTTGTGGAGCCAGTAATGAAGCATTTAGCTTTCAGCAGAGCTTCTCATTTACCTTGATGAACGCCGGAGGCCACAGGAATGAACAGAAACAATACGGCTCAGGGGGAGGGGGGAAAACGAGGCGGCTCTATTTATATCCGAGTGAAACCGAATTGAAGTCAAGAAGAAGCGACGCATGTTGGAGCGTCCGGGCTGAAGCTGGTTCTTGGTCAGTTGAATGCTGACTAAGGCGAATGGTGAAGAATGTGTCAAAAACAACAAAACGTCTTGCCGTCTCACTGGGGGATGAGTACTGATTATATGGTTGGAGGCACAGTCATCCTGCTTCAGATCATTACCTCTGTGGTTGACATTTATCATATTGTTTCAGTTATCAAGATAAATTTCTTAGAAGAAGTTTGATCAGCGTCACAATTAATGATGCTTAAAACCCCTCATCTTGGTTATATTAAAAGCCTAAATTCATACAAAATACTTTGAAGTTGCATCTGAACAACAAGACCTGAGACATGAGAGCAGATCTGAAAGGACTAAACAGGCAGTGAAACGTGTTTAGATCCAAAACCAAAAAAAAAAAAAACAAACTTCCCCTCACCTGCGATCCCTTGCAACAGTCCGCACACATTGAAGATGCTCTTCTTCATGATGCTCTGGAAGCACATGGTGAAGATGGAGATGAACGCCACGGCGCACAGCAGCAGGATCCCCGCGGCCAGAAAGATGGAGGTGGCCTGCCAGAACCCGCTGGCAATCTCCCCGAAGTGAACGGCGTATGGTCCGCACAGGATCCCCCGCTGCATGTGGGCCAGCTTTATGCAGCGCCCGTAGATCCCCAGGGTCGGCCTGTAGGCCTCGCCGGCCGCCGTGGCGAGGTGGGGGTAGACGGAGTCGTGCGTGCGGGGGAACCCCACCAGCCAGTCGGTGCTCATGAAGGCGATGAGCTCGCTGAAGGCGGCCACGATGCTCAGCAAAGTCCACAGCATGGAGCGGCAGGTGACAATGACATGGCACATGGCTGACGGCCGCTCAGGGTCACCGACGGGTGCTGAGAGGCGAGAAGCGAGGGCGGGCTACCTGTCTCGCAAACGCCGCCAAGCTGAGGTTACGATCCTCCTCCTTGGGTTCAGGGCCAACTCTTTGCAACGGTTCACATCAAAGATTCACAGTCCGCAGCGTCGCTCTCGTCCCCTCGCGAGTTGTTCCGCTCGTCTTATCTCCCGCCGGAGTCGTTTCAGAACAGCTGTCGCTCCGTCCGCCTCTGGGCCGGCCCTCCTCCTGTCAGCGTGGTCTTCAGACTCTTCTGCTGACTGCTGTTTGGTGTCTACATTGTATTGAAGTCGTCCTGCCTCAGCCAGCCCGCTGGCGTCACTTCAGACACACCTAAGAGATAAAGAAAGAAAAAAAATAAGCACACCGGGAGTCAAGAACAAGAGCGAGCGCTTTAATTGCATGCATAAAATGTAATTGCAGGTGTGCGAGAAGCTCAGAGACGAGCGGCGAGTTTTTGTGCCGCGCACTGAGGGAGGCCTGCGACTCGATACGGCTTCCCGCTTTGATGATCGGAAAAGACGTGCGGAGGTTGGGGAAAAGTGTGCGGGAGGAGCAGGGAGAGGAGGAAGGGAGGCTGCTGGTGTAGATCTTGCAGGGAGGGTGGAGAGGGGGGCCTAATGAGTTGTGGAAAGATGAGTTGGTTTCAAAGGGGCCTTCTCTCTCTTCACTCTGTTTACGTTAAAGGATTTGTGATCAGGCCACTCGGGCTGCTTCCTACTCCCTGTGGATCGTCGACCGACGCTGTAAAAATGAGAAGGAGAAAATTTATGTGCGTTGTCTGGGTTGTGTTTTTGTGTGCGCACACTGTGGAGAAGGAGATGGGGAGGTTAAAATAGACGGGGAAACGGCGGAACGACGAGCGGATGCAGACTGGGAGAAAAACAAGCTCGGGGCCTCTCATCTGGCAGCCCACACAGCTGACCTGAGGTCAGCCAACGGATGATGGGATAACGGCCGTCCGGCCGTCACATGACTGCTGATAACCTCAGAGCATCAGCCCTGCTGAATCAAGGGGGCACCAGAGTCAGGAAGTGACATTTCTATTGGCTTTATTTACCCTTCATCTAACCACAGCCGATCTGCCCAAGACGGTCTGCTGTTCATCATCATCATCAAAATACACACAGCAAACACTTCACCAGCACAGAGCTGCATCTCCTTTTGCCTTCAGAGCTAATGACTATCATGTGACTTTCCAATCACGCTGCAGACACATTCACCCACTGACATCCACGAATGCACGTTATCCACGCGCCGAAACGCAGAACGGCAGGCAACTTCAGGCCAAAGTGCTTTGGGCAAAGTCACATCGACTTGTGAAGGAAGCAGGTTTCAAACCGACAAACGTCTGAATTTGAGACATCGCCGCTGCTCAAGTGGTCGGATCAGCAGTAAAGTATGTCATCTGCATACGGGTGAACCATCCTAACTGTCCTACTTAGGACAAAGCTAGGGTTGTAGACCCTAGGAAGGAGACGTAAATCACAGCAAGCAGGCGTCACCAAACTCCCAACAACTCCACTGAAAAAGAGACGCTTGATCTACCAACTCAGTCTAAGAATCGTAGGATTCCTTTTTTGCTAAAAATGGACATATGTGTCATGGCGGCTAAATTAGTGTTCAACATTAACCACACAGTGTCTGGCCGAAGCTTCGTCCTTGACATTACCGTTCTTATTTAAACAAGTGCGCTGATTAGATTGTGGGCTGCATTCTTTCTGAAAAGGCGATGAAACTAATCTGATTAGTGACTCCGCCGCTCTGATGGGAACGGCGCGTTACCCAAGAGGACCGTGACGGCTTTATATTTGGGGAGTTCTTGACTTTTCTAGTTAAATGCGGCTTCGCACACGCACATCACCAAAACGACGGCAAAAGTTGTCATCTTTGGCAACCGTTCAGTGAAACACAGCGATTCTTGACAAAGCAACAACTTATTCAACTGGATTTCTTTCCAGATTTGAGCTTCTCATGCTGTTCCAACTGTAACACAAGCTTTCCCCGGAGTTATTTTCCTTAAATTGACAATTTGTATAAAATTTCATAGATTAAGTAGCTTAGCTTGATTTATCAGGCTGTAAAACGGCTCTTTTCAGCCGAGTGATTGAGACGACGGACTCCGGTCAATTGGAAGAGAATAAAGGTCCTCCTCGTTCAAACCCCAAGCAGAGTCCCCAAAAGGCCTCTGGAGACAAAACAAGCGGACTTTCAGTGAGTTGACAAAAGTATGAGATTTTATCTAAGAGAGGCATTAACAAATGTAAGCTGAGCGCACATTAAAAGAGCAGCGGGATGCCAGAGAAGATTAAAAGGTGCTTATACAAGCCTTTGTGCTCATGTTATAAATACAGCTCTGGGCCAAATCTCAAAGCTGTTTCTTCTCTTTGAGTCGACTTTTTTTTTTTTTTTCCCCCTCTCTGCCTCGGTTTCCCTGCTGCCTCTTGGGAGTCTGTTAGTCATTCTGCGACCGGAGTTTGGCAGGGCAGCAGAGAGAGCAGGGGACCGCTGCTGACACGTGTGCCGGCCGCACTGAGAGGTTTCCATCCCTCGGTCCCCGGTGATCCCTCCCAGCAAGGGATGGGAGGAATGCTGGTCCCTTTGTGGTCACATCTCAAGTGTGTGTGTGTGTGTGTTTTTAAGAGCTTTGTGCACACGCACACATGCGAGCGCACGCTCTGATCTACGTCATCCAGTGGCGATATCAACACCAGCCTTCTTTTTTTTTTTTTTTCATCCAGCAGACAAAGTGACCCAGATCTGTGGTCTTATGCAGGGTGGTGTGTGTGTGTGTGTGTGTGTGTGTGGGTGTGTGTGCGTGTGTGTACACAAACTAGCACTGTGCATGTTTGGATTGTGTAAAACAGATGAGCTCATAAGATCGGGCGCAGACAGCCGACTCCATCGGAGTTGGACTAAAGTTAACTCCATGAATCACAAGCGTTCTCGTTGCCTCGCCACGAAAAGCTCCGGGAACAAAGGCAGAAGTCTTTCAAAGACTCCGCTCCACCTCTTGCACTCACATAGCTGATGTCTCGGCGGTGTTTTGACAAGACAAGCGGTCTGACGCGAGGACGTGAGACAAACGGGCCGTCCAAAGGGGTCGGGGTCAAACATTTTGCCGGCCCGTTGCGAAGACTAATTCCTCACTGACAGGAATATCGTTGAAAAACACACCGGAGCTGAAAGAATCCAAACCAGCTGGGGGAATATGGAGCGTGCACGACCTGGACATTTAACCTTTGACCTTCGCCTAGCTGCAATGTGATTGAATCGCGTGCCAGCTTCTCTAAGGTTCGTCTCGAAAGGGGATTAGAAGATGTAAAACTAGTCCCGTTCCGTTAATGTGCCTGGTATTTGTGGCAACATGTGCCCAGACGTCTGCCGAGACAGACGGACCCGAACCCAAGTTTCCCAAGACAGAGAGGTCCATCTAAGTGGGGCTCGACTTGGATTTATGATGTCCCTAATACTCTAAGGAACCAGGGGGGGAGACGGAGGATTATTCAAGGTTCAGTTTACATCCAAAGAGGAGTTTAAAACTCTCAGACTGCAGCAACCACCCCTCTGACCTCCCACTCTAATCCCCATGACCGGCACTACTTAAAGGACTCTCAACATCTGACACATGTGCTCCCCCTCAAAAAATGCTGGAAGACAACTGCGCGCAGGAAACCCGAGATGGACCCAGAATCAGAAGACAATCAGGGGTTTCCAGGCAGGACAAAAGTGTGGCCTGTTGTGGTTAATTGATGAATTTTAATGATCAGGATGACAAAAGTCGCAGGTTGATTCTGTGAGATGTTGAACTGTATTAGAACGATGCTACACAGCTAGCATGTGACGCGCTACGCTGATGACACAGCGATATATGCAGTGTTGTTGAAGGATGGAAGATTCAAAAAAATGTCTCTACATATGACTGTTTACAGACTGTCCCACAAAAATTAAGCACTTTGATAATGAAACGACAAAAGAGAGTAATCAGGTTAGCTAATTTCATTTGGGGATTAACAAAGTAACATGACATTTAATTTAGTTAGTCACTTTTACTTTGAACCAATGTCAGCAGGCCCCTGAACAGCTCCACTAACCAAATAATCAGATCACGAATTGAAGACGGGATGTCATCTCAACTCTTCAAATCTGATGGATTTCCATGCCATTGTGGTCAAGGAGAACAAAAGGCTAAAACTGCTTTCAAAGACCTCAGAGTTGATGTCCTTAACGTGACTCAGCATGGAGTCAACTGAAGGAAAAAACTCGAGTTTCATTGACGGCTCAATGAGCAAAACTTGCTGATGCGTTTCTGTGGATTTCTGCCAACATTTGTGTCAGTAATGTGCACTGAGTCGATGACAAACCATTCTTTTTTGTTTTGTTTTGTTTTGTTTTTTGAATTTTTTTTACTAAGGGTTGCTTGAGTAAGAAGTCCTATTATTTTTCAGATATTCCTGACGTCATAAGTTGGCTTCCCTGAATATTAATCTAATTAAACGTCACCCTGTTGACATTACATGTGACGGTAGTTAATGCTAATGCTAGTGTGAAAATTCCCTTACCCTTCAGAAACATCTGAGTTTGTACTGCGTGGATGATGTTATGGTACGTCAAAAAACCTAAAAAAAAAATTCTGCATAAAATATATTTCCACAATTTTTTTTTTGTTTAACTGACCCAGACACAGTCAAAATACTGATTATTTGCTAAATGATACAATCAAATTGCTATGACATATCAAAATATGACTAAAGTTCTCATTGTGAAAAAGCCAGGTTCAAAGATTGTCGCTTATCTGCATTGAATATGATTTCATCTGACAGAAATAATAGTGACGTTTCTTTTAGCTGGTTTTAAAATGGTCTTGTGGTGTAAAATATTTTACAGCGTAGAAAAGAAATCAAGAGCTGACAGATAAGACAATTGTGCAGTAAAGTGGTAAAACATCTCATCTTACTAATGAAGCTGAAGTTGATACAAGATGAATTTTATATTTGGTAGGAAGCTAAAGAGCAGCAGCGTTACAATAACGCCCGATTCACAAGAGCAGGTTTTCCATAATACCGAATTCATGAAAATATAAGACTTTAGCGAAGCTTTGGGAAACATTTGTAGGGTGTTTTTCTCCACAAACTATAAACATTGTTTTCAATAATGAGTCTAAAGTATTCTGGGTCAGATTTTTGTACAAATCTAACTCTAGGAGTGACCAAACGCTTAAAAAGAAAAGATTGAAAATGCACTTTTAGCCCTAAAAGGCAACTCAGTCTTCCTGGTTTCATGGATTTTGTGCCTAAAGACAGTCCAAGCGCTTCTAAATCACTCCCATTATTTGTTCTTCAAGGGCTTAAGTAACTGTTGAGGACCAATGGGATGATGAGTCTTTCTTAGTCGACTCTTGGTGGAACGAGATAGTCCAAGAACTACAGTAGAGGAATCAAGTTTGAAAAAACAATTTCAGGCTGACAGCAATTGGACACAAGACAAGGAAATTGAGGAAATCGCAAGATTCTTAAGGCCGCTCTAAGATATTTACGGTGGACCTCAATATTCAGTGGATTAAGAATCACAACTGCCTGAGAACAGTAAAAAATTTGTGAAACCTCTCAAAAGAAACGCCTTTAATTGCTTCTTTTAATGGTCCAAACACCAGTTATACCTTAATATGTACGACCAAGCAGGAGCAGGGAAAGCAGACGGTACTCAGAGTTGCTCTCTTTTCACTGCAACAACACAGCAGGAAGCGCCTTTCCACAGTACCACCGACAGGAAGCAATCTGCATATCTATGGACTTGTCAGGACTGGAGTCACGCGTCACCATGGCGAGTGTTTGCCTAGAGCTGGTGGAAGAGTTAAGAGGGAGTCGATCCATCGGAGGAGCTCAAACGTCCACCACTAAAACTCATCCGGCGCCGCCACAAATAAGCCAGATTGCTTGGCTTCCACAGCGATCCCTTTGTGCCACGCAAGGAAAGCAGCGACATAAAACAAAAGGAGTGTTTATAATCTGCAAGGATGTGTTTGAATGAGAGAGCAGCTGCTGCAGGAAGCTGCCGGTCACCGAGGGCGTCAGACCGGCAGCAGCGACGTCTGGTGAACTCCCGTCAAGGAAAGTCTGCAGAGAGTCTCAAAACTCAGCAACAATGACAAAGTCGTTCTCTTGCAAAGAAAACACAGTTGTCCTGTCTAACTGTGGCCCACATAAGAGCCTTGGTCCTGATATTATATAAGGAAAATTACAGACTGGCGTGGTAGTGATGACATCACAGGTCAGATTTTCCACCCTGACGAAGCGAATCTGTCCCAACTTTTCTGCACATCTGCTCCACATCCACTGCAGTTCAAATTAAAGGCTTACACTCTCTTAACACGTCGGCCAAGAAGTTTGACAAAATCTCCTAGGAACCTGGAGAGCTATCTCAGTGAAATGAAGAACTCAGCACAGGAAAATGAGAGCGAAAATCCAGGTAAAAGTCCGACCTGTCTCCTCCGGTTCTCCATGAGATGTTGCTCCTCTGCAGTGACTCTCCTCCCTCGCGCACACCCTTTAAAACCGTCCCCCTCCCGCTCCGGCTCCGGGACCCTCCCCGCGTTCCCACCCCCAGGACGGCCGAGCCGCGTCTGATTGGCCGAGCCTGCAGCTGGAGCTGTGCGACTTGAGAGGGTCCACATGGTGGCCATATTTCAGCGGAGAATCTGGGTTAAAAAAACAAAGCGGCGGAGCAGCAGAGGGGCTCGCTTTCCTTTTCCCTTTCAGCCTCAGTTTCTCTCACCTTCTCCCTCGTCAACCGAGGCCAACATCTCACCACCAGATCCACTGACAAAGGAGTTTACACTTTCTTTTCAAGAGTGCCCCACAAAACACGGTTGTGGATAAAAATCGCACTGCTCTTTTGGTACTAACATAGCTAGTAAATAATAAGAAATTGTACTTAAAGCATCTTTTCCACTCTCAGAGCCGTTTCATAGCTCAATCAAGTTACTGTTACATCCAGTTGTCATAAAAATGCTTTATGTATCAAATGTGATTTTAACAAAATTAAATATACATTCACTTTTGAAGTTGGGCCTCTTTCTCTTTTAAGCTGCTCTTCCTGAAACTCCGCCATCAGGAAGTCGCCACAACATGGCTCCTCTATTAACCCTTTAGCAACATTTTTTACCAGCGTTGCACAGAGAAGAAGTTCGCATGTTGAGCTCAGCAGACGTGCAGTTCCATCAGGTGTTTGCTAATTGCTGCTGGCTAGTCTGGAGGAGCGGATTGGGGCGAGAGGTGCACTGTGAGCCGGAAACGCTGAAGATTAGAAACTGCAGCTCTGGGGAGGAGCTGCGTCTCGGAGGCGGAGCCAGATGTTTTGCCGTGGCGATGAAGGGATTTCTCAAACATGCATGAAAGAATCAAGGTAAATCTCCAGGTATATTTTCTACGAGGGAATAATATTACTACCTGATGTACAGCTGAAAACACAATACTGCCCATTTAATTATCAATTTTTCTGTCTATGTGAGCCTTAATCAGTTGTAATATTAATCAGGAGTTTAAATTTCAAACCAATACAGTTAAGCTCAAAATTGGAAGATTTCTTTTTAAAGTTATTTTATGTCTGGACACAGGTGTCAAAGATTAGGGTCTTAAAGACCTAATCTCCATTACCAAAGATAATTTTAAAAAAAAAAGTGGGAAAATGTCAAAAGCCATTCTGAATTTACACTGGGTTTCCTATATTGGTTTTATTGCTGTTGTGCCATTAAAGATTTTTCCATTCCATTTTCTGCAAAAACAAGATTACGCTAAATATGTTAGAGAACAAAAAACAAACGTTACTTGAACTTGGATAGTAATATATTGCAAATATTTCCTGCTTTTTCAATGTTACAAACTTTCAGTCTGTAAACTTTGCAGGGACTCAAAGCCCGTCTGGTTGAAGTCGCTGTTAACCAAACCCTGAACCACAACACACACAGATCCCCTCACATCCTCCTCCTGCAGCCTTGTGTAAACATGTGACGGCCTGATTTGTTAATTGACTGGTTTAGCAGATGGCTTCGTATCTGACTAATGCTTTTCCCCGGACTGCTTACGGCAGCAGGGAGTGCATTCGGCCAACACTGCCGTCAGCCCGGCAGCGTTTGACTCACAAACAAGTTCCATATGAAGACGGGGCGGAAAAGGGGAAGGGGGGCCGACGCGAACGGGAATAGAGGCCGAGAAGTCCATCAGCTCGAAAAGGAAGACCGTCCTGTCAGCCTGAGAGAAAAGACCCGGCCACTGCAGTTCAAAAACCTGTTTTGAAACGAGAAAGTCTGTAAACTCAAACTAGTAAAAGTTCTCCTGTGACCCGTTTCTATTAAACCCTGGTGCCTCATTGTAATGCTGTGGTTATGTTGGATGTCTGAGAAGAGGTTAATGGGCCATTTAAAAGCCGCACGCTTTAACTAAAACGTCTTAACATATCACAAATGTGCAGTTTATCCAAAAAAACACTGGCTGTTCACTAAGCCCGCTCAGTTAATCTTACTGATGCTGGCCAACTTTCTGTTTTGTTTTGCGCTGGATGCAAAAGTTTACAATGCCAACGCTGGAAATTTACGTCTTCTTTCATCTCCATAAACAATTGCTTCTTGCACTCGCTCTAAAAACAGTGATTTATTGTTCCGGGTAAATAAAACAAACAAGAGGCTATTGTAACTAGCACGCTAATCAAGCTATTTATACACTCTCTTTGGTTAAACGGCAAGCTTTTAGCGCTTCCAGACTTTGTGGAAGCTTACGACAATTATAATCCTAGTGTCAAAATAAAAGCATCAAAACACTCCAAACTATTTTGTTTGGACTGATGATATCCAAGGTGAAATAATTAACGGCAACCTGAAACTGCTAAAAAAAAAAAAAAAAAAGTGAAATGGTCCTTTTCTGGAATCAACGTTAAGTTTCGTTAGCATGCTACGGTGCAACACTGCGAGGCGTCCACCTCCCATTGACTGCATGTGCAGGAAAGCAATAGGAAACATACCGGCAATGTTTTCAAGCACATGGATAGAAAACCTTTTAGTTATTTCTTTAAGGGTCAGTGTTAGGGTTTGGTGCTGCCTGTTGATATCCAGGGACATGAGCCACTTTATCCGTATGGGAAACTGCTACTGGAGCAAATCAAAAGCTTCAAATCAGATATACCAACTTCAGCAACTGCCATCCATCCATCCATCCATCCACCTGAATGGATGGCAGTACAGTGGACTCACAATCACAAACACTTTAAATCCACGGATGGTTAGTGGCAAACCATATTTTCTTCACACTGGGGACGTTGTTTTCCACCGACCAAATGTGCAAATGTTCCCAAGAAATGTTTTATCGACCAAATCTGTTCACTCCTAACTTTCTTTCGGACTAAAGAACAGTAGAAGACAACAACCGGTGCGTCATTGTTTTCATGTGATAAACTGTCTTGCCATTTACAACCAGAAACAAAAAAAAGTCTTATTTCACTTCTCAACATGCACAGAAATGTCTGTGACTTGATGCATTTGTGGTTTCAATTTAGTCTGCTTATATCCTGCAGAACCTCGTTTTTAGCAGACCCGGTTCCATGACACCGTCTGGTGCTTTGAACTCGCTCTTCATGACAAGGCTTGACCACAAATCATCTTCCAAAACAGAGAGAGAAGATATCTGTGGAGCTGAAGTGAGAGCGAAGACGATCTGACAAGTTTCCTCCAGCGGTAACGGGAGCTCGGGCTCCCACATCAAAGACCGGCGGATCGGACAGGAGGAAAGACCCACATGTCAGGCCAACGCATCTGTCACACAGAGTCGGCCGAGTGGCTGGTGATGTGGACGTTGTTCATCTCCCCCCCATCACACTTCGGTCAACGGAGTCGGGTAGATCTGAAGAGAGACGACGACTGTGAAGCAAAGCAAGGAAACAAACAGCTAACAAGTAACAGGTCGGACTTCGACATCGACCCGGCAGGTTAGCCAAGATGTCTGCGGAGATAATTTATTGAGTGACCAGAACATGAAACACAAGGTTCTGTTTTGAATAAGGCATGGAAGGGAAGGCAATTGAGGAACTACAGTTATTGATTGATCAAACATGCTGAACCGTCTTATTCAGAGAAAATGTGAATATCACACTGGCAGAGGGAATACAAAGCGTATCTGTTTCACATTAGTATATCAAAGCAAGAAGTTTGGTGTTTCTGTGTAGCTTTGAGCTCTGAAGTTTGAAAAGCTGCCCCCTGGTGGCTAAAAGAAGCCTGAAAGTCACATTCAGACGATTCATACAACTTAAACTTTTCACGTTTTTTCAGTTTGCATTGACCGCTGCAACCACAGCGGCCAATGTATTTCAGTGGGATTCTGTGTGATAGACCAACATAAAGCAGCGGACAGCTGTGAAGTGAAAGGAAAATGTCTTCTTGGGATCAATGAAGCACTTTGAACTGCCTTGATGCTGACAAGGTGCTATAAAAATAAAACTTCTTCTGAATTTGAATGATGCATAGCTTTCATTGTTTTCTACAAATAAAACTCGGGTAAGTGCTGCATAAGTGTTCAGGCCTCTTAACTTTAATACCCCTAAATCAAAGTGCAAACAACCTAATAAAGAAGAAAGCGATTTAGTTTAGATTTATGTCCTGAACTGAACCCGAACAGAAATTCAGGCCAGGTTCAGATCAGGCTGCACATCCAGGACAAAGAAAGCCCAACGAGAATGCACGATGTAAAGTTGTGTTAATCTACTAATTGCAGTCCAAGTAGAGGAATAGTTAGTTTAACCTCTTGATCAAATAAACCTTGATGAGGGTTAGTTGGGTGCAGAAGATCATCGGACTGAAACGAGCGCATCGCACTGCAGTACCATGTCTCCGCTCCTGACTCACCCTACAGCTACGACAAGCTGCAAAACGGAGCTGGAAGAAGCTAAGCTAAAGCTAGAAACACGGACGTTACGCTGCTGGGTTGGGCCTGTAACTAAAGTCGGAGGGGTCAGATCGGGCTTGGACACAGCGCCTCGGGTCGGGTCTTCCAACTGAGGTGGAGGATCAAATTCCAGCAGAACAATGACTCTAAACACACAGCCAGAGCTATTTTCTGGACTGCTTCAGGTCAAAC